CTGTAGGAGCTTCCTGAACTCAATCGGAAGCTGTGGAAGCCGTGCCAGATGTTTGGCTTCCGAAAAACATTCGCAAACCGGAACACTCACTTCCAGGTTTGCGACATTTGGGAGCCAATTTGTTAGGGAGCCAAGCCATTCAACTACCAAGGTACCACTGTATATGCCACCCACTCTGGGTGGCTCCCAACAAAAAAAACTAGCCTAGTCTACCACTGTGCCTATAACAGTAACATTGTGCTTCTATTCATTCCCTCTCCTTCCTCTAAATTTTATGGCTGCTGGCCATGCTCAGTCCTCACTGGGCGGTTTCGGCTGGCTTTGTCCTTTGTTTATTTAGTGCTTCTGCAGATCTTAAGGTTCCCTTGAGCACGCTCATGCTGCTTTCTTGTTCCCCAGTGGCCCCAATTTGCTTGCAATCCTCCCGGCACTCACCTTCTGTGTTTGCTATCCTAAGAAGTGACACATCTATCAATGCTTTTCCAAAGCATTCACAGCTGCAGAGGCCGTACTTGAGTGCATGCTGGTTAAACAGCTATATGATAAACTTTCTGGAGATTGGAAAGAGTTTCACAAAAAGTTTCCTGGAGACGGCAGCGGTGACCTTACAATTTTGTATTTTGTTGCTGGGTAGGTTTAATGAAGGAAATCGCAAAGGTCTGACAGATCGCTGAAGTAGGGGGCTCTTTCTTCCTCCCCCCAACTTTGAAACATTCACAACTATATGTCTTTGTATTCTGGAGTGCTCATCAACAACAAAAAGAAATATTGCCCCCTCAAGCAACCCAACAGCTCTATAATTAAATTACAGATTATATCAATTAAAGTATAAACACACTATCTTGTGATGAAAGCATCCATCTCATCAACGTCCGTGGAATCAATAGGCTTGTATCATGCAGGCCTCTGACCAATTTATTTTCCTGACACAGGGATCGATACAGCAATTTTAATGGCATTAATGATTAGATAGCTTTTATCAGCTCTGAAAAAAAAAATCTTCTGCAAATGTTCATCATGCTCCAAAACCCTTTTTGCTGAGGTTTTTTATTGCTGTACAAACACTGGATGTTAGAATAATAAACTGGTGGCACCGACCACTGTAGGGAGTTATCACCAAGAAATGTTAGTAGGGAGGCTACATCAAGATGTCATAAAGGACAAGGCAGGGGTGGTGTGTCCCATTTCATCATCTGAGGTGAAACAGGAATGTGCTGCACCCCCAACCGTCACCAAAGCCTCCCTTATTTGGGATGTGTGGTGGCAGCTGCAAAGCAGTGGCAGCAACAGTGGGTTCCACTGAGATCTCATGAGATTTCATGAGGAAGAAAGCTCAGAGGAGGCTGGGGGAGAGAAAGTTCAAGTACAGTGGTACCTCGGTTTAAGAACAGCCCTGTTTACAAACTATTCGGTATACGAAGTCCGCAAAACTGGAAGTAGGGTTCCAGTTAGCGAACTTTACCTCAGTCTACGAACGGAAGCCAAACGGTGGAAGGGCACCGGTGACGGGAGGCCTCATTAGGGAAAGTACGCCTCGGTTTAAGAATGGCTTTGGTTTAAGAATGGACTTCCAGAACGGATTAAGTTCGTAAACCGAGGTACCACTGTAGAAGAAGAAGAGGAGTTTGGATTTGATATCCCGCTTTATCACTACTCGAAGGAGTCTCAAAGTGGCTAACATTCTCCTTTCTCTTCCTCCCCCACAACAAACACTCTGTGAGGCGAGTGAGGCTGAGAGACTTCAGAGAAGTGTGACTGGCCCAAGGTCACCCAGCAGCTGCATGTGGAGGAGCAGGGATGCGAACCCGGTTCACCAGATTACAAGTCTACCGCTCTTAAATACTACACCACACTGGCTCACTAATGCTGATATGAAACAACTCTCTTATAAGAATAGGTTGCAGCATTTGGGACTTTTTAGTTATGAGAGAAGGCAAGGAAGAGATGACATGAAGGAAGTTTATAACATTATGCAAAACTTTTCTCCATCTCTCACAACACCAGAACTCACAGACAGCCAATGAAGTTGAATGTTGGAAGACCCAAGACTGAGGAAAAATAAACTTAACGCAGCGCATAGTTAAAGTATGGCACTAACTCTGACAGGATGCAGCGCTGGCCACAAACTCTGATGGCTTTAAAAGAGCATTAAACCAATTCATGGATGAGGGGGCTATCAAAGGCTACTAGCCATAATGGCTATGCTCTGCCTCCTCAGTTGGAGGTAGCTATGCCTCTGAATTCAAACCATGGGATGGGAGAGGCCCCTTGTGCTCAGGCCATGCTTGTGATTTTCCCAGAAGAGGCATCTGGTTGGCCTCTGCAGTGCCACAAATCCAACTCAATGGTGTAACGTTGAAAAATGCCAATCACTTCTCCTACCTGGGCAGTTATCTTTCCACAAGGGCTGACATTGATGCCAAAATCCAGCATCGCCTGAGCTCTGCGAGTGCAGCTTTCTCCCGATTGAAGTGCACAGTGTTTGAGGACCGGGACATTCGTGTTGGTTTCTATTTCCCTCACTGAGCAGCAACTGCATGTCTCAAGACGTTGTTAACATTCCACAGTCAGAGTTACTGTTGGGTTCCCACGGGAATGGGAGACCGGATGTGATGTACACTGGTTTCCTGTTTTTCACTGTTTTCTCGGTTCTTTGTTTTCGAGAGGAGTTGCTTCTCTGCTCTCACAGAGGCAAGATGTATGTCTGTATGCTCTCAGCATAGCTTGTAAATAAACTTCAGCATGTAGCACATTACCTGCTTATCCTTTTGTGTGCGGGACTACACTCTGCTTGGGCTCAAGATAAGGCGAGCCTGTACCAGCTCCAGATGGGCCGGAGCTGGTCAAATCTCACAATTCGCAGGGAAGCCAGAATGCTTGTTTACAAAGCTATTGTACAAACAACCTTACTGTAAGCTAGTGAAACACAGACCACTTATAAACACAATCTCCAACTTCTCGAAAGATTCCATCAGCGGTGTCCCTGAAAATTTGTACACATCACTTGGGAAGACAGGCAAACTAATGCCACTGGTAGGTCCCACCCAGCAACAACCTTACCCAGGCCCCAACCCCTATTGCAAATAGTGGCTCCACTCTCTGGGGAAGCCAGAGCAGCCACGGCTGGTCTCTTGCTCTGGGCCAGCTGGCTGGCACACCCAGGGGTAGCAGTGCTGGCATATCATGACCTAGCAGGACAACGGGGAGGGGGAAGAGGATTCTGGCGAAGGGTGTAGCCACGACTGGTACATAGCGGGGCAAGCTGGGGATGGAGAAGGGGAGGTTGAGGGCTTAGGAGGTACTCACAGGACAGCAGGGGACAGTGGTGGTCAGTTTACAGGAACCTCCGTCTCCACAAACATGGTGAGCTCTGAGGCATCAGGAACAGTAGGAGGTGCACTCTAGGAGAACTCCGAGGCAGGAAAGCTCACTAGTGGACCAGCTTGAGATAATGGGACTCATTAGGTCTGGGAGGAGTTTTGAGGTCCCTCAGGTGGATTAAGCTCAAGGCAGGTGAGGGTCACATGTCTCGTCAAGTGGAACAACATGGCTGCTCAGCTGGAGCAAACCCAGATGCATCAATTCAAGGTGTAAAAGGGAAGTTTGCTCAACTTTCCACATTGATGGAACATGACTTGGGTGTTCCAGGAGCTCCACATGCTGGGGTTTTTTTTGGGGGGGAGGACTTCCCTCCAGGTTCCCTGACCCTGGATTGGCTGCAGTGGCAGGCGCCCAGCCTGTTGGACTTTGGGCTTGGCTTACTTCCCTGTTTAGGGAAGCTTTTAATGTTTGATGTATTACTGTATTTTAATATTCGGTTGGAAGCCGCCCAGAGTGGCTGGGGAGGCCCAGCCAGATGGGTGGGGTATAAATAAATTATTATTATTATTATTATTATTATTATTATTAAACCTGGATTGTTTCTCTTGACCTGTTGAACTGCCAAACTACTTGCTAACACATTTGCCCTTGGGACTGTGTACACCAGTGGGACTTGCTGCCAGGTATGCTGGGGTTCAAGACATGGCATCAGAAAATGGAGCCAGACAGCTGTTGGGTTCTACTCAACTGTGATTTTTTCTTTTTCTTTTGTGCGCCGCAATGCAATGCCTAGCAAGAGGGAAATAGGCAGAGAGGAGGTTAACATGACTAGGAAGCTTCAGGGGTGGGAAAGAATGACATTCACTAGCCATTTTTATGCCTGGCAAATTGAATTTGTATAGCCAATTGTGAACCAGTGCTGTGTGTGCATAAAATGCCAGATGGAACGAAGGGTTGTGTTCAGAATGAACTGTTCAAAATAGTAACTGCTTGTACCTGATGGTGAATCATTTTTTCTGTCCTGCGTATAAACCAAGTTCTGTCATTTGAAAGGTAAGCCTCATTATACCAGCAAAAGAGTGTTTTCAGCCAATATATCCATTGGCTGCTTTATATATCCAGAAGCTGCTTTATTTATCACTAGATCATAGTATTTGGGCTCGGCTGGGCGAGCAGTCAATGATCACGCTGTTAATTTATAGATTAGTTTATTTCTGCCTTTGGCTGGTTCTTGCTGCTGTTGTCAAGGATTGCAGCGTGCTTTCATCATCCTGGCAACCCTACCCAGTTTGAAGGGACTTAAATCCCAGAAGATCGATTGAGGAAGAGCATCAGTTACCCCCACCCATCCCACCCTGTCCAGCTCTCGTCCACATTGTTGTCATCTGTCAAATCACCCTTGAAGGAAACCTATTAAATGGAGAAAAATTATAAGAGTGTTCAGCTCTCCACTATGTTTGTATGTATGTAGATCGTTTTGCAAGCCAGAGGGGATTTTTGTTTTTTTAAAGAACACTCAATAGCTAACAAAAGAAGAATTTCTACTGCAGTCACTCATGCAGTGTCCCTTGATATCAGACGCTAGCAGGATAAAGGCATAGTTGAGCTGTAATCCAAAAATGGCAAACAGCGGGTTGAAATGAAGTAAACAGTCTATATGGAGTAGCAAAGCATAGTATTCCTGGAAGATAGGCTCAGTGGTAGAGCACATGCTTTGAATGCAGAAGGGTCTGGGTTCAATCCTGGGGAAAGATCCAGGCGTGTGTGTGTGTGTGTGTGTGTGTGTGTGTGTGTGTGTGTGTGAGAGAGAGAGAGAGAGAGAGAGAGAGAGAGAGAGATTTATATACTGCCCTTCACTTTACACAAGGCAGTGTGCAGAAATAAAGCAAATACAAACTAGATTTTCCAGTTAGCTCAGTTGGTTAAAGAATGGTGCTGATAATGCCCAAGGTCACAGGTTTGCTCCCCTTATGGGCCACCTACATATTTCCACATTGCAGGGTGTTAGATTAGCTGAACCTTGGGGTCCCTTCCGACTCTACAATTTCATGATTAATAATACTTTTTTAAAATCTATACCAAATTACAATCGCAACAACATATGCAGTAGTGGTTAAAGTGTTGGAGCAGGACCTGGGAAACCAAGATTCAAATCCTGCCCCTCAGCCATGAAGCTCACTGGGTGACCTTGGGTCTGTCACTGTTTCTGTCTGACCTACCTCACTGGGTTATTGTAAGCAGGGAGTGGGTGGTGCTGTGGTCTAAACCACTGAGCCTCTTGGGCTTGCTGATCAGAAGGTCGGCAGTTCGAATCCACGTGATGAGGTGAGCTCCTGTTGCTCAGTCCCAGCTCCTGCCAACCTAGCAGTTTGAAAGCATGCCAGTGCAAGTAGATAAATAGGTACCACTGTGGCAGGAAGGTAAACAGCGGTTTTGTGCGCTCTGGCGATCGTCATGGAGTTCTGTTGCACAAGAAGCGGTTTAATCATGCTGGCCACATGACCCAGAAAGCTGTCTGTGGACAAATGCCAGCTTCCTTGGCCTGAAAGTGAGATGAGTGCCGCACCCCATAGTCGCCTTTGACTGGACTTAACCATTCAGGGTTCCTTTATCTTTCTTTCTTTTTTACAAAGCAGGGCATTTTTTTCAGCTGGAATTCAGTTCTAGCACCTCTCAGGTAGGTACCATTGCCATTTTAAGAGTACAAGGAAGGTGTTTCTAGAAAAACATCAAATTGGGGATGGTTTTTTAATAAAATATTTACAGCAAAGGGGAACTTGCATCCTTACTTCAGACACTTTTCCCAATAGCACAACTCCAAAACGATTGCAGGAATTGAGATCAGGGAAGTTGTTGTTGTTGTTACTAATAATGGGTTTTCCCAGCCACTCTGGGCGGCTTCCAACAAAAGATTAAAAATACATTAAAACATCAGTCATTAAAAACTTCCCTAAACAGGGCTGCCTTCATATGTCTTCTAAATGTCAGATAGTTGTTTATTTTTTTGACATCTGAAGGGAGGGCGTTCCACAGGGCGGGTGCCACTACCGAGAAGGCTCTCTCTGCCTGTCTCCCCGTAAGGGGAGACAGGGTTGGGTTCAGTTCACTTTGCTCAAGTGCTTCATTGGTTTGAAGTCTATCCCCAACACCTCCTGTTTTATAAGTGAATGGGCAGATATGTAAAACAAAGATGAGAGAGTGCACCTGACCAACCCATGTTTGCAAGCAGTTATGCAGGGCCACCTTGGGTTTCAGGATACCCTGAAGGGGTATAATTTCTTCCTTAGCCTGTATTGTCAAAACAATAAAAAAGAAAAGAAAAGTTGACAAAATACCCTACTGCACCGTTCATGACAATACTGAGCAGAGAAGCACTAAAGGGGTCTTCATAAATCATGTCTCAGAATGTAGTCTGTTGATATAACCCTTCCACATCATGGCTTGCTGGAGGCAGCAACAGCATCCCATCTTTGTTGACACAGGATATGAAAGGCTCAAATTCATCCCTTTTAGCAATCCCTCTTACAACATGGAATTGATAAGCTTTGGGATGTTTTTGTTAAGCAGCCCCCTGTTATTTGCGGGGATAGAATAGCTGGCGCATATTTGGATGCTATGGTATGGTGGCGAGGGTGTTGAATTAGAGCAGGTTTGAAACCCCAGTCCTCCATGAAACTCACTGCGTGACCTTGAGGCAGACACACTCTCTCAGCCAAACCTCCCTTAACAGCTTTGTCGTGAGGAGCTCCTTGCCGGAAAGGCAGGATATATATGTAAATGATAAATACATTCTAAGCTCCATCTTCCTCCAAATTTGCAAATTTGCTCCCTTATCATCAGCAGCCAATTTTCTGAGGAAAGGCTCCAGAAGACTCTTTTATTTTTAACCAGTAAGAAAAATGATGTACTGTAGAGGTGAGAAATGGAATAGGGTGGTAATTTTCATTCCCTCCACCAGCAAGTCCTTGCACCTACGACCTCCTTACTGTTTGCATTTCCTTCCTTCCTTTTTCTGGTCGCATCTTCTGTGCTCACAGAAGTGTAGCGGGCAGCAGCTTGATTCAGAGAGACAGCAGCTGTTCGTGTTCATGGTGTGGATCATCAAACCTAATAGGGCTTGTTAAAAGTGCGACAGACCAGGGATAAGCTCACCAGCTCACTCCAATCAACAGGGTGTCAAGCCAGGCCTCCAAAATGCCACCTTAGGATGCTGTTAACACTTGCATCCCTGCTTCCAGATCCCTAACTTTTAAGGACTTCAGGAGGCTTGCAGGTAAATATAAGCTTCAGTAGAAAATCACCAAGGCTGTCACCACTATTCAAATACACCTGCTTATCCTCTACCTGGATTTCAAATTTCAAATGCTCTAATTAAGAAGGTTAAGTCCTCTAGGCAGGATGAGAACAGGACAAACTACAGTGATTCTGGAAGTTTCTGATCTTTGTTAACACAACCCCAACCTTTCAGCCAAGTGGCTGAGAGGGATTAGTCAGGGCTATCAAAATTCAATCTCTACTCTCTACTGTTTTTAAAATTTTGCACCTGAATCTCTCTTTCTCTCTCTTCCTCTCTCTCTCTCTCTCTCTCTCTCTCTCTCTCACACACACACACACACACACACACACACACACACACAGTTTGCAATGTATATTTGACAAGAAGCAAAGTGGCAAGAGGACTGCACTGTAAAAAGATGCATACAAGCAGGAACTTTGGCATGCAAATACCCTTGTAGTTTCCCAACCCACCATCTATGTTTACCTCTGAGAATGTAGAGATATTTGCACACCAGTGAATGAACAGAGCCTGTTGCCACATACAAGCATCTATGGACTGGAGAACTAATCCCAACAGTGGCACTAGAAAAAGAATAGGGGAAAAAATCACACACAGGGAAACATTATTAGGAGAAACTGGCAGGACTTTCTCGAGCTTCCTTTCTTCCAAAAAAACTTTGGGATAAATGGGACGGTGCCACTGTGCCCACAACCACCAAATCCAAGGTGGATCAGTGAAGACCCTCTAATGGGGCATTCTAACCACCCAGATATTGACATGGCCTTCCTCGGGATTCCTTGGAACTTCTAACATACAACTTTTCCAGGTGGCCCATGCCACTGTGAAAGGGTCCACACCCCACAGTTTAAGATGCAATGTCTTAAAATGATGGAGAATATTAAATAGAGTGAAGAGAGTGAAAACAGGCATACATTATTCCAAAGTTTCAGAATTTCAAATCAAAGGCTTATAAGGCAAATCAGTGCATGGAACCCATACCTGGTTTTATTTTGCAAAAGAACAAACAGTACTGCTCATTACAATTAAAATTTTACAAAAATATTTGCTCGTTCATGAAGCCCTTTTTGGTCTCTCTACCTTCTGAAAAAGCTGTCTGGCACGGAGCAGCCTTGTCATTCTGATAGGCACCGAAGCCTCCATGTGCAAACCAGTATTGCACTTCATCATCCCCCAAGCTGACATGCCCAGATGTTTTGGACTACAACTCCCATCAGCTGCAGCCAGCACAGTTGGGGATAATGGACACTGGCTGGACCCAAGAAGAATTGTAGTCCGAAACATCTGGCGGCCACCAGGTTAGGGGAAAGCTGTTTTGCAATGATGTCCCTCTCATCTTTGAAGTGCCATGCATGTTTGTTTAGGAAATATCAGAAGATCCTCATTATTATTATTATCAGAATTTATATATCGCCCTATACCTGGAGGTCTCAGGGCGGTTCACAGAATTAAACCAAAATAGAAAACCACAAAATACATAATCAAAATAAAAACAACCCAATAACCCCCCCCCCAAAAAAAACATTTTAAAAGGGGAAAGGATCCTCACAACATTTAAAGTAAGACAATTAACAAACCTGGACAAGAGCCACTCGCTGGAAAGACCATTATCTCAGAAATGTTTGCAGCAATATTTATTTATTGGCAACCAAATTGGCCAGGTGCCTTTCTGATACAAAGACAAAAATAGCTTTGAAATAAGAGGGGGGGGGGAATTAGTTTTGGCTGTTGAGCAGATGTAATACTAGCGCTTCATCTTCCGCAAGGGAAAGGCCTGTATCTAATGTTGCAAACGAGTCCTCTTTGCTGAGTTTGATCTTCTTTCTTCTTGGCACTGTTTCTACCGCTGATGCGCTTCCACCAGAACGTTGTTTGTCCATCCCAGGGCCACTGCAGAAACAAATAACTCACCCTTTTAATAAGTGCATTTAAGCCAATTAAGCATCATGCAAGCACACAATTCATTTTTAACAAAGGCAGGTTTATGCACAGATAAGGGACAAGCACGTTGATGGCTGTAAAAAGAGGAACTATAGATTGAAGAGCTCAAAAGTTGAGACCAATTCTGCTGACCAAGGAAAATGTGTAATTAGTTGGAAGAAACACAGATTTACCATTGCTTTAGATTAATTTACTGTTTGTTGATGGCAAGCAACAAATATGAGCACGTGTAAATTTAAACGCTCGCTAATATTGTGGACTAAGCATGTCTTGCTCCTCGTAATCAGATATGCGTTGTGACTTGTGTGGCTTCAACTAAGAGGAGCTCTGGTCAATCACAGCAAAGCAGCATCTAGTCCACAGTAGACAACCAGGTGCCCTCAAGAAATCCATAAGTAGGGCTAAAATGTAGTAGTCCTTGGCCACTCTTGCTCCTCTAAGCAACCAGTAGCTAGGTGATACACCATTTTCAAACATACAGGTTCCACACAACCATCACAGCTATCACCCAGTGATAGAACTA